TGGGATACAGGGATGGGCTAGGATTTAAGGCCCCTTCCCACCCAACCCATTCCATGTTCTGGGATTCGTGGCAGTGATGCTGAGAGCTGCTCTGGGGGGAGCCAGGCCCCCCAATCCCCTCAGGAATCACCTCCTGTTCCCCTGGGACAGGGAAGGATGACCCCGAGGTGCAGGGATGAGTGGAGCTGCAGCAAGGCAGCCTCTTGGAGCTGCAATTTTCCTGCTGAGATTTCCTCTCCTCGTTAGGATATTGATCCACAGCTCCGGGATGAATAACCCGGGACAGGCAGCACTGATGGTGATGGAGGAGCTGGGATGGCTCCCAGGGAGGGTCTCTCCATCTTCCTGCTCTCCTGGCTGTGTCCTGGGTCTGGCTTCTCCAGGGATTTAATGTGGGTGTGGGGCTGATTGTGGATTCTGGAATATTTTTGGGATCCGTGGAACGGAGAACTGGAGCATGTTTAAATTTAAAATGTGTTGTCAGTGCAAGGGCAGGAAAGATCAGGGAAGCACGGGATCATGGAATGGTTTGGGTTGGGAAGGGACCTTAAATTCCATCCCAAAAACCCCTGCCATGGCAGGGACACCTCCCACCCTCCCAGGCTGCTCCAAACCCCATCCAGCCTGGCCTGGGACACTGCCAGGGATCCAGGGGCAGCCACAGCTGCTCTGGGAATTCCATCCCAGCCAGGAATTCCTTCCCAGTATCCCCAGTATCCCCAGTATCCCGTCTGACACGGTGGGGACTGGGCACAGGTTGGACTCGGTGACCTTGGAAGGCTTTTCCAGCCTCGGCATGCCGGGAGTTTGGATTTTTGCTGGATACTGTCCTTGGTGCTGGATGCTGTGCTGGAGCCACACTCCCAGATAAAAGCACATCCCAGAGCTCTCCAAACTCCCAGAATCCCATCCTTATCCATGATCCATCCCTTTTCCCCTTTTTATTCCATACTCTTCCTCTTCCTTTTCCTCTTCATCATCCCATGGTGCTGAGCACATTCCCAATGTTCCTCTGGAGCCTTTCCTGCTCCCCAGGAAAGCATGGAACATTTTGAATATATATATATATATATATATATTTAATTTAAATTAATTTTATTTTTTAAATTTAAATTTAAATTCCCGGGTCTGGAGCTGGAATTTCCCCCAGTGCAGCGTTGCTGACTCTGGGTTCAGTGTTCCACATGATGGAGGAGCTGGGATTTATATTTATATTTATATTTGTATTTATATTTGTATTTATATTTATATTTAAGTCCCCACGATTTCCCTGCTCGTGGCTGCTTCTCCCAGTGCTGCTCCAGCAGCCAGACCCGGGCAGGGTTGGAAAGCTTGGAAAAATTCATGGAGTGCCTTGTGCCAAGGACCTCAGCCAGAAAAAAAAAAAAAAAAAAAAAAGTTTTTCCTTATTATTTTTTTTTTTTACCTGGAAGAGGTCAAGAATTCAAAAGCTGCATGAAAAACAAGCCTGGAGTTGTGGCTTGATCCATGATGCCTGTGAAAGTATCCCAGATTTTTGCTGTAGATGGGATACTGGAAAGAAATTCCTGGCTGGAATACTGGGAAGGAATTATCAGGAGGATGCTGAAGCCCTGCAATAGAATTCCCAGAGGAAATTCTGGGAATTTCCCAGGATTGTGGGTGCCTCTGGCAGTGTCCAAGGCCGGGCTGGATTGGGATGGGATTTAAGATCCCGAGCCATGCTGGGATTTCCTGCTCCGTGTCTGCATTCCCGCAGGAATGCGGGGCCAGGAGCAGGGATTTAGGGAATGTCATTCCCTGGGTGCTCCGAGGCTGCAGCTGAGCTCACCTGGTAATTAATTCATCAGCAGAACCGCCTGGAATTAGAGCTCTGCTCCGAGAGAGGCTCCTAATTGGGAGTTAATGGCTCATTAGCGCTGAGCAGATCAGCCTGAGAGCCCCGACAACACAAACAAAGCAATTAATGATTTCCAGGGGCTGGGATCCACCATTCCAGCGGCTGGGTGGGGCTGGGCCAGCTGTGCTTGGCAGCAGCTGGATTTGGGGGGCTCTGGGGGCGCTGCTGCCTGGGGAATTCCCTTTGGGATGGTTGTAGCTCCCTGTTCATCCCAAACTGGGCCCCTGGGAATGAGATGGGGGTTGGGAAAAGGAGCAGCAGTGGCTCGTACCCAGGAAGTTTTGGGAATGTGAATCCCAGAATTTCAGGATGGGTTTTGGGGGAAGGGGTCTTAGAGCCCATCCCTGACCCTTCCCGTTATCCCAGGCTTCTCCAACCCGGCCTTGGGCACTTCCAGAGAGGAGAGGGAGCTCTGGGAGAGCTGAAGGGAGGGATAAGAAGCGCCAGGACACGGGGATGGATGGGATATTGGGAATTCCTGGCACAGGTTATTCCATGCATGGCCCCTGGATCCCTGGAATTGTCCCAGGCCAGGCTGGAGCAGCCTGGGACAGTGGGAGGTGTCGCTGCCATGGCAGGGGTGGGATGGGGTGGGATGGGATGGGATTTAGGGTCCTGTGAAGGTGTGGCTGCCCCTCTGCAGCCCACCAGGATTTTTCCTGGAAGCAAAGCAGCGCCCTGACTTTGGGGATGGGAAAAGGCAAAGAGCCCCAGCCAGAATTCCCGGTGTCACAAAAGCTGAGCTGCCTCTGAAACCTTCAGGGGGAAAAAAAAATAAAAGGCATCGTTTTCCCTAAAATGGCAAAAAATGCTCCAGACTTGGAGGCTTTTAAGGCAGCCTGGGGAGAGCTAAATCAGCGCGGTGGGGATGGCGGGCAAGGCTGGGATGTAAAATTAGAAACCCCTGGCAGGCACGTGGGTATTTGTGCAGCTCAGGATTGATCCTCCCGGGAATAACGAGGCTGCTGGATGACATCACATCCCCAGGGATGTGAGCCCTAATTAACCCTCCCTGATGGCAGCATCGGGATCGGGATCACTTCCCTCCCTCCCTCCCTCCCTCCGTGCTGCCCACGCCGCAGGAAATGATTTCCCTGTGCCACCCCCGCATCCAAACCCCGCCGGGAGCCACAGGGGTGACTCCAAGAGCTCTGAGCCTCACCTGCCTGTGCTGAAATGGGGAACCTGAGGGATTTGGGGATTTGGGGATGGTTATCCCAGGAGTTTTGGGATGTTTGTTCTCCTCCGGGAGAGGTTGGAGGATGCTGTGGATGGAGGAGCAGCTCGGAGATGTTGAGCACCTGGGGGGGATCAGGAAAATGTGTCACCAAAGGGGAGAATCCATCGTGGGATTGCTGAGGGTGTGGAGATGCTGTTTGGGAATTTTTTCCTAGGGGGAAAAGGTTTTTCCAGGTTTTTCCAGGTTTGGGAGGTCCCAGTGAGATC